AAAAAAAAACAGTGTGGGTAAAGGGGGCAGCAAAATGCCTCTTTTGGGGGGGAGGGGACTGGCATAAATGGATCTTCAAATGAAAGTGAAAATTGCACCTTTATCCCAGACATTTCGACTAGCCGGGTATCAGGAAGAACAGCCTTGAAGCTTTCCTGCTGCCTAAAACACTTGACTTTAAGCCAGCAGATCACTTAGGCCAAGCCCCAAGCAATAGCATGGCCCTATTGTAAAGCTATACTTAACTGAATTAATCTCTCCTGATATTACATTTTGTGAAAAGTTGGCTATATTAGCCTCATGCTTAGGTGACAGGAACAAGATTGAAAGGTCCAAAGAAAGACAAAAAGTTTTTTTTTGTTCTTGTACAATGTAGAGATGAACACACTAATAAAAGGCCAGCCAAAATGAAGTGGTTTCTTGCCAAGTTTATTTTCAACATTTAACAGTGCAAACTTAAAAAATAATAATTAAAAAGTCAGTATACTATACTCTCGTTTAAATTATTAAGCATTTAACATAGCATTTTTGCCAAAAGACTATTTACAGAGTACATACTATAACACATCACATTCATATTTCCAATTATTTTAAATCTCCAAATTTGCAAAAGAACCAGGGGAGAATAAAATACTAAACAAACACTGGAAAACAATGGGCCTAGTATTTTACCACAAACCTATTTCTTAGGAGATATATTCTCAAACTAACAAGAAATTAACCTTAAAATATACATTTTCCATAAACCAGAATTTGAGAACTTGTGAAAAACCAGTAGGCAGGCTTCACAAGGTCACAGAAAACCTTACCTCAGGAGGGTCTTCAATCCTGGTCCCAAAGAGCCTAACCCTACTCCACCAGACTTGCACATCAAATATCCTTTAATATGGTCACTTTCTAAAGGCCTAGGACAATTGAAGTATAATCAAACAGGTGGTGTGTTCAATTAAGTATTTTAGAGATCATTTAGAACAAAAATCTGAATATCCTTCAACTGTGAAAGACCAGTTTTCCCTTCATGAAAACACTTCATTGATCTTAATTGATCAATTGCTTAACTAAATGTTCCTAATCTTTAAATAACAGGTGATTGAGGGGGACTGGTAGGAGTAAATGGACTAGAACCCGGAAGGACCAGGGTTGGAGGACTCACGCAATATATATATACAGTAGTCAATAAAAGGGAAATGAAATCCACATTAATAACTCAGTCAAAACAAGCACTGAATATACGAAGCGTTCTTTTCGTATTGAGTTAACTCAGATGAATTTAGACGGGAATTACCAAAGTATATGCACTGGACGCTAAACTGGATTACTGGAAGAAAGACATTTAAGGTGTAGGGGAACTGTCCCGTGCTTAACGTCACCTGCCAGATGAGGTGTTTAAAAATAAGGCAATAAATATAAAAACAAAATCTACCCTAAGGTGCAGAGGTACGTTAGATGCCACGGCGGCATTAATCAGACTTCATCTGTCGGTCATCACTTATGCGCAGACCAACAGAGGCGAAAGCATGTGTAAACCAGGAAGGCAAGAGGCTCACCTCAGCTCACGTGACTGAACCACAGGCCAGGAACCAATCAGAGCTGCATATCCCGTTCGAAGCTCCACGAATCAGACTTTTGCTTGAACCATGAGACCAAGATGGCGGCTTCAGCGAAAGGAAAAATCAAAACAAGTGTTCATTAAGTAGTATCATTGTTTATAAAACGGGCCTCGCAGGACAAAAAAAATAGCGAATGTGTAAAGCAGCCCTGTAGGCATGACAACGCGGAAAAGGCACAGTAGGGTGGTGGCTCTGGCGCTTTCAGAGGAGCGTGAAAGGAGGCGAAAAGCCGGTGTCTCTGATACCGAACAACGAAAAACGAATAAGATGTGCAGGGGCCTGAGACAGACACAGCAATCACCAACTGTAGACACTTCTTATAAGTCTCGCAACAAAGGTAAATGTGTAATTGCAGGAACAGTCGTGAATGATATAAATCACAAAATGAGCACAGCTAGCTGGGTACCGTAGATGAGCACGTTTATAACCAGTTTCACATCTAAAGATCCTGTTTGTACCGTTATGTACGCTCATGTACTGCGAATGGTACCTTATCGTTCGGTGCTAAAACATTCGCATTAAAATATTGTTGTGTGTGGCTTTCCGTCGTTAGTAAACTGCAGCTAGAATGCATTTGAATTGATCTTTCCTTATAGTGTTTGGTTGGTATTCATGTATAGTTATGTAAAAGTAATTAAAACCAGTACTTAATGAATTATCCTGCATCAAAGTTTGAGCAGACTTGTTTTGTCTGGTGAAATTGTTTTGGACAGTGACGTCACAGGGTAGCGCCCCCCATCCCTAAAAGTGTAGGTGATTCTGTTCGTATGCGCTGGTTTCTACTATACTATGTCGATTAACAGTGAAAATTACTACTTTAAATAGAGAAGCCCCCCAACTTCTGCATTCCCCCAAAAAAGCAATTAGCAGTGGTCACCACTAGCTAGAACACAACAGTTGCCTTCCCACTTTTGCTTAAATGCTTTGTTACGATCCTCTGTGCACAGCAAAAATATACATGTACAGTGTCAAGCTAACTCATAGGAAAACAAATCAAGAAGATAAAACCACATTACATATGTACTATGTAGTGGTTCTTAGTGATACTACAAATACTCCACTTGCTGCCAGAGTTCTGGACTATTGGTTGAGAAATGCATGTACACAGTCTCCTTTCCCTCTACTTCAGTTTAACCATAAATTTGCCTTAACCGGGAGGGGAGGCTTTGTGACTCACTCTCCAAAAATCTTTTAATATCTCAGAAACCAGAGCAACCCAGAACACTGGTTTAAACTGCACAGATGGATGATTAAAGATGGCAGCATCACCGAGAATATTTATACAATGGTGCTTTAACTGTTTTACATGCGGCAAGATGTGAGGACTCCTAGGAGGTGCACGAGGGTCAATCGCAATCCAGTAAGATGTGTTGAGTCTCCTAGCAATGATTCAGAGTTTCACGAAGACATCATCTGGGACCCTTCGTCGCCAACTCCTATCGTGAATGGTATTGTTTTTTACATTTCTGTTTTTTAATGTGAATGCTTAGTACGCATGCAGAACGCAAGCTTGAGGAGATTGTTTGAAGATCCATTCCCCAGTGAAAAAAACATAATGCTATTTTGTATCAGATTCCATACATTTAATGTGTTTTAGGGAAAGGCTGTAACAAGTCAAAAATGAGCGGAAAGGCAGTGGAAATCTCGGACATCGTCAATCGGATTGCTCCCAAGGTTAGTAATGCTTTTTAAAAAATTGTTCAGGTTTTATTTCATCTACTTATAGTTGAGATCAAAGAAAGATTAATGCAGTGATTTCTGTCTCAGTGTGTTTCAGTCAGCATTATAAAGATCACTTTTATTTTTGCACCTATATGTGAATAGGATTGCACATATCAAGCAGTTGGTGTGCTTGCTTCATTTAAGTGTTAAGTGTTTAAGTGTCTTGTAGGTACATTTATATATGATTACTTATTACAGAATTCATAATTCAGAGACACTGCAGGTGACCTCATGCTGCTTTGTGAGGTGGCTATAGACATTTTTCTGTGTTGTTTTCTAGGATGACAGGCCAAAAGCCTCAGAAGCTGTGCTGCTTGATATGTGGTTTGGTGATGGTATTCCATGCACTCCTGAGGTGGTTCATAGCAGATCCAAGAAAAAATCTTCAAGGTGGGTAACGGACTGAAAAATGCTTTGCTTGACACATTTACTATACCTTGGCAGAACAATGTGAGCACCTGTGTTTTATATAGGTCAGATAACACAAGGCACCTGTTTGGTCTTCTGGTGCAAGTGGGATATGGCTTCCTCATTAAATTTTTCATTTTGATCTGAAAGAGGAAGTGATTGTTTTAGAATACATCCAGATATTTAAAGAGCAAGCTGTGTCAGGTTGTAAATTGGGTGATAAAGACGTGGCAATCAAATAGTAAATGTAGTGTGAACATTGGGTAATGGATGAAGTATGAGGTAGGGTCTTGTCCTTATTGACAAGTTTATCTCCAAGTGTATCATCTCACTTTATTCAGCCAAAGCATTGCATTACCCTGTAGTGTTTATAAAGTAGTTGGAGGTGGACTTCCAGTACCAGTGGCTTGTAACTTTTGGTGCTGTGTTTTTATTCAAGCTTTTCTGGGATTAGTGGAGTGAACTGACTTCTCAGTCATAAGAGCAAACAAAAGCTGGGTTGGTTTACAAGGGTTTTGCTTTGTTGTAGTTTAAAAACTGTTTTACTAGGTTGACCCATAAATCCATTAGTTACTCTTTTCAGTTTTCAGGATGAAATATAATGTTTAAATGAGGGATCAAAATGTTTAATTTGACCTTCAGTACTCCATGCTTGAAATAACCTTTTTCTTTCGTTTTTCTTTTTATCTATTAAAATGTTCACACAGGCAAAATGGAGTGGAGGAACTTATGAAGCTTGCTAAGCAATTTGATATAAATATGATACAGCAAGATACAGAACAAAGGACTGAAATTCTTAATTACAAATTGGAACAGGACCTTTCCACTGAAAATGAAAACAGTTTGGGAAACACTATTCCTCTTTTTTTTAGCAAACCTTCCTCAAGTGACATCAGTGCTGTCCAAAAAGGAATTACTGGGATAGTGGAAGAAATTAGAATGGAGCACGGTACCCAGAAGTTTGTGGATTCTAAGTTAGAAGATGAAATGAATGCTCTTTTTGATGGACCTACTCAGCATCTCAGTGGAAGACTGAGTCAAAGTTCAGTTAGTCATTCACAGCAACTGAAAGTGCCTACAGTTACAACCAGAAGTGTTTGTGAAAAGGCTGCTGGTTTAGGGTTCGTTGCACCTCTTGATGTTGGATCAGTCAAAACTATCTCTTCGCCAGAGTCACATGTGAAAATCACAGAAGAATCTGCAATGTTAGTGGCATCAAATAATGATTTTAATGATGACTGGGCCAATGATGATTTGTTAGATGATTCTTTCTTACTTGAAGTTACCCAAAATCCAGACTTAATCACCTCTGCAGAAGAAGGTAGACGGTCCTCTAATCATGCAGGTCCTTCTTCTGAAAAAAATGGTGTTCAGAATGCCAGCAGTGCATCTGCAACAGGTCTCAACAGCACAGTGTGTGGACAGTCCAGCATCAGTTGTTTCACAACTGGATTTGAAAGAATAAATGAAAAAGCAAAAAACAGAAGTACTTTCACATTGGAGGCAAACCCCCAATTTAAGGTAAAAGAGACATTTTCACTTGATGAAGCTAGATCTATGCAACAGGAGTGCATTTTGCAGGATTATAAAAACAAAATAAATGAATCAAGTCTCAGTGAAATTGGCAGGAGAATCTCTGTGAGACCAGATAAAAATATTCAGAAATATCAGCAGAGTCATTCCCAAAAAACACCCAGTGCGCTCATACCCTACATCCAGCATACTACAAAACCCTCTAGTGCCACAAAGCCTGTATCATCTGGACCTTTGAAGTCCATACTTCAGTGTGATAGACAAGTAGAGACCAATGTTAAAGAAAAGCAGGCATTGTCCTTTGGGTTTGGCAGTGAATCTAAAATTTCTGAAGGAGACTTTGACTCTCTTTGGGAGGATGGAGATGATGACCTCCTCTATCTGGCTTGTGATGATGTTGAAAAGTTGTCCACTAATCGGTGTGCTGAATTAGGCACAAGTTCTGCTGTTGCATCCTTGCTAAAAACAGCTCTCCCACAGTCAGCTATTGTCCAAAGCAAATTAGAATCTAGGCCAGGTTTAGGCATTGATAAAGGGATTCATGCAGGAACTAAAAGCAGTACCCAAAGTGGAATCATGGAGTACACAAAAAATAAACCCACGACTGCTTTCAAACGGTCCAGCTCTTTCCCGTCAAGTACTGGTGCCCCTGTAAGTACTTTGTGTAGTGTCTCAAGCAGTACAACAGCAGCTGCAAATGTGTCTCAGTCTTTAAACAACAGAAAGAACTGTAGAAATGTAAATTATTCCCTGACCGCTTTCAAGCCACAGGACTTTTCAGATATGAGTGAGAGGCAAAATGTGTTTGAACAAACAAGGAGCACTTCTGTAGAAAGCAAGACAGGGGAGGGAAATCAGGTGAAAGGAGCAAAGTATGGGAGTGCAAGCTGTTTGCAAAACCTCAATAACAAGAGTGTCACCTCATCTGTAAGATTCCCTGAAACATCTAAACAGGCTTCTTTCAGGAGGCATCAGTCTGACCCTGCAGCACTGAACAGCAAAGGTGAGTTGGAAGACCTAAAACAAGAACATACATACAGTATGTACATGGTTGGATCCTAGTCTGAGTAATTAGTATGTGAATTCATGGATCTTTTTCTTGTGAGATATCTTACCAACTTCATTCTGATGTTATCATTAAGCACTTGTTAAGAGGTTCTACTATTTTGGAGCACTTCCTTTACAGTTTGTGTGCAACAGAGTCTTATAGCTTAAGATCAATACAGGTTCACTTGTTGATGCAATACGTTCAGAAAGTGAAGAAGCCCTTAAATCTTACTCTTTGGTGGTACCCAGTGTTTGATTGGCAAAATAACTTAAGAAATAACTTTAAAGCTCATGGGAATTTTTAGTATTTTTAATGATTTTATTATTTCTGCTTTTTTCTAGTCTTTGTCAATAATCAAAGGACTGTTAAGTGTTCTGCAGAAGAGATTGAAAGAAAGAAACAGGAAGCAATTGCACGAAGACGACAACGGCTGCAAGCAAATCAGAAAAATGAAGCACCAACTTGAATAGTGATATCAGTGTGTTTATGGGTGAACCTTTCAGCCTTGGAATTGGAGAAGTCTTTTGAATTGATGAGTCTGATTACTGCACTTAAATATAGATTGACCTGTTTTGCGAATTCAGAGGGTTTCAAGAGAAAAAGATTTCTTTATGTGACCTTAAAATGGAAACATTCAGATTTTGTTGGTTGTTCAATTTTTCAAGAAAAAAAAAAGGTTTCTGTTTTTCATGTTTTGTCTAAAGTTTTTTTACATGGATAACAATTGTAAGTGATCGCACTGAAAGCCTTTCCAAAAGCCTTTAAAATGCATTTGCATTTAAAATCTGTATAGTGAAGTGTCCAAAGGTAATTCCACATGTTCCGAATCATAAACTAACTGTGGTGTTTACAAGCCTGGTCCATTGGTGCAGAAGTTGACAATGTATGTAGATAATGCCTTTTAGACCTTTGCCTTAGTTTACATACCTTTCTAACCATGTGGAATGGGGCGATTTACGTGTTTATATGCACTCCGGGCAATGATAAACCTATTAATAAGGGCATCTCATCACACTAGGAGCTTTTGTGATACCTCAAGGTTTTTTACGTTGAAGCTCCAAGTTAAAATTGTATCTTTAAAAAAAAGTGTTTATCTCAGATAATCTGGATTCAAATAGATATCATCACTTGAAGATTATTCCATGTTTTGGAGGATACCTGCGTGTAAAAGGCTTGCTGCTGCGAGCTAAGTTGAATTGCAAATCCTAAGTGAGGGAATAAAAAGTAACTTGTGGGGCAGCATAGTGGTGTGGTGGTAAGCACCACTGCCCGGAATTTGTCCTGTGTTGGATTTGAAGGCTGGGACACCTTACAGTATGTGTAGAGGCTACATGTTAACCCTCTCAGTACTCCTATATCCTTCCTCTGTCCAAAAATGTGCTGAGTAGGTTATTTCATTTTTCCAACTTTAGCCTGTGCATGTGCCCAGCAATGGACTTGGCATCCCAACTGGATTGACCCTGTGCTCCCAGGTAGACGGGTTGCGGCAATATTTACCATAAATAAGTGGCTTTCGGACAATGGGAGAATGGATATGATTTGTGTAGGAGCTGAAGAATGAAAAGCAGAAATACAGTTAATGTCGCACTTGAGGACCCAAGTGGCCTGCCCCTGCTGTACTGGACACTACATGTCCCATGACCCATCACCAGAACTGGTTGTAAATGTTTGTGACTATTTGAATCCCCCTGGCTAGTGGTTATGTATGGAGGTTTTGGCTTAGTACAGTAGTTTATAATTTTAAGAGAAATGGCAGAGCACTGATGTTGGTGTAATTGGTTGAACAGACATTGCACCATTATGTGTAGCTGGCTGGAATGGAAATAGTGGAGCCTGCCAGCCTTATTGAAGTGCCAAAAAACTTAATTAAAATTTGTAACATGTTTTCCTGGTTTATACTACTAGGAGTATAGTCCAAAGCATCAGCTGCACATTACTGTGGAATTAAGTGCTTGAAATGTAAGAAGAATTACAGTATTATGGTTTGATTTTATCTAAAACTTTTAACACTTAAGCATTTTTCATAATTTATGTAATGGGCTTCATCAGTTGGGATTTCAAAGAGAGACAGACTGGCGGGGGAATTATCCTATAGAGGTGCTCAGCTAGTACAATTTCAATGATTTCCAGTTAGAGCTTCCTGGCTGTAGTCTGAGCATGCTACAGAATGGGTAACCTTGGTGGGCACCTGTGAGGTTGTTGTGTCACTCCCTACCTCTTATTTTAATTATCATTTTCAGCAGGAAAAAAACAGAGGATGGCTTTAACAAGTGCAGGTTTAAGAAAAATGCATGAACCGCCTTCACTGCTCTTTTGTGCTTTAATAAGGAATGTAGCCAATTTGATTCACACAGAGACAAAAAAAAATGATCTGAGATTTCAAATTGTGATTGAAAAAATGTCTATAGCCTTAGTGTTATCTAAGCTAGTATCTTCCTGTGGCAATCATGTTCTTTCATTATTTCGCATTCTCTCTGAAGTTTATTTGCAGAAATAGTAGTGTAAAATGTACTGTATGACTTATTTTCGAAAGATTATCCGGTTATACTCGTCACACTTCTGCTAACAGTATTTCTTTTAAATCTCTAGTCATTCCATCTGAATAAAAATAACTGCAACTTGGAATTAATTTTTATTTAGACATATGCCTGAGGAAAATTACTCAGATGAGTAATATGATATTCAAATGAGGAAAGTAACTTTTCTTTTGGAACAATTTGAGAAAACAGTCATTTACAGTGACTGGGTAGCCATGCTCCCATTGATTGAGCCCATGCTGAGAGAAGTGAGAATGTGGTAATAACGAAAGGGTGGGACAGCAGCCTCTGTCCTAGCTTTCCAGGAGTTTACACAAAAACTCAGCCCAAAGTGAGCTTCAGATCTGTGCCTGCTGGCCTTTGTAACTTTGACATGTACAATAAATTTAATTAATGTAACAAAAACTATCTGCACATGTATTTATTTGACTTTAAAAAACACTTGCATGATTTCTCACATTACTGTACATTTGTGTATTTATTTAACTTCCATTATAACAATAATTTAGCCCCATTTGGGTCTGGCAAGACTTTATGAGAATGTTGTCATATGTACAGTCTTGCCTTGAGGGCTTACAGAATGTCATAAGGTTTATTGTTCTGTTGAATGACTCTAAATTCTGCCTTTAAGAACCTTACTTAGAAGGATCCCAAGGGTTTCCAGTAGTCTCCTGTACTTCATTTATTAATTTCAAAACCTGAATATGTACAAATGAGAAGGATAATAGTGTTAAAAAATGCTACCTAGAACCGTAATTTGAACAAAGAAGTCAATTGGAATTAGCAGGGAAGCTTATTGGAAAAGGCAAACTGACATACTGTTGAAAATCTTTTTACAGGATGTGAAAAAAGAGGGGACAGTTTTAAAAGGCAAGTTTTTTTTCTAGATTCTGAAATACTTTTTTAGATTTTGCAGGAGTGAAGAGGATAAGTTATTAAACTTCCTTTTTGGAAAAATGGTCCATCTGCTTATTTGTATGAGTCATTTGTTAGTAACAATACATTATAAAGACATTACAAGTCTGTATAAAAATGATAGAAGAATCTGGGTTGTCAGGCACTCTGTCCGTGCCTAATTTTATTTAACTAAAAGCTCTTCTTTCCCATGTCTCCAACTGTACCTTGGGGAACTCTTTGCACTGCAATACAAACATTTGCATAAAGTCAAATAAGTTTGTTTCTGTTAGAATACACAACATATATGGAAGCCCATGCAAGAGATTAATCTGACTGGTTTCATATTCTCTTAAAAGGTTTTGGAAAAAAAGGATAGAGTAATTCCTTTAAAAAATACTGTTTAAGTATGACTAATACAGAAAATAGTCCAGAAAGAAGGAGGCTCTTGTTGTCAAGGTAAATGAACTGAGAATATTTCCACAATGCATGTTATTAGCAGCCAGGATTTGTTTCAACAAAGCTTACCCAAGTGTACTTCACACAGGCCTTAAGGAATGACAAGGAAAATGCACTTTTTGGCAAGACTCTTCTGTATAAATAGCAAGCTAAGTTTTTTTTTACTAATACATTAAAATAATTATGAAAACATCCTCCCCATCAGATTTAAGATTTATACCAGAGTTCATCTGATATTTTTACAGCTTTAGGTATCTTCTGTGATGAAATTTCAAATTAGCTTGCATTCTTTGTGCCAAATTGTACAATTAAAGCCAGACAGGTAACAAGACAGGTCTAGGATATAATAATCTGTCATTATGTTTAATGAGGATTCTGTTGTCCTTAAATTTGTTAAAATCAAAGTAAATAAAGTACACTCAAACATGGTAAAAAAAAATGTGATTCCAGAAACAATTCATGAATCAGAGGAAATAAAACTAACTTATACAGTGGATCCGTTTCAAATGACAAAACTGAATGCATGCTAAGGTTATGAGCGATATGGGCTTTTCCCCCTTTCCCCACTCTCCCCACTCTGCTGAATCTCTCAGAGGACTGTACACCTACATTCCTGTCTGCTGAAGAACATTTCAAAAAGCTGGGGGTCCACAACATTTTCCATTAGCAAAGTATTACATTAGTGCCTGTTATTTAGAAAACTGACTACCGGAGCCACAGAAATTTGTTTGGAATTTGAATCTGGAGGAGCTGAAGTTTGTTAGATATACTTTTAGCAGTATTTCTGCCAGCACCTTTGCGGTACAATGGTTTTGACTCTGATACTCTGATATTTTTTATGCATCCCCTGTAAGCCATGAGGGTCTGTTGACAGTTTTTTTTTTAAATTATTTTGTCACATTTTTTTTGCATCTTTGTCACATAGGCATTTTTGCTTGATTAAAAATCCTGACAAATAATGAACAATGCGCCTTTTGTCTTAACCCGGATTACAAATACACAGTCTAAATTTTCTAGACTTAACAGACAGGGGATCAAAGTTTTGTTCTAGAAAATAATATGTTACATGGCAACAGAAGACATTTTGCAGTTCAATATCTTTTGGTGTGCTGAGGAATACATTAAATATTCTCAGATTTATTTTCTCTTCTTTGGTTTGGGTCAAAGCACATCTTTGTAACTAAAAATTAATAATAGAAAAATGGCCATTTGAAAAATACTCATGTCACATCACTGGAGTACAGTTCATTTTGTGCTCAAAGACTGCAAAGGACCTAGTAATTGAAATTCCATCTGGCTCTGCTTGTGGTTGAAATCCACTTCATGGAAAATTCAAGGGAACGTGGTTAACTTCATTTGCTTTTTGTACAATGTGCACAGCAGACTTTGAAACCGCACAGAGCTGCTGCTGTCCATCTGATGGACACTCTTTCAGCCCTGCTTTACTGCATATCACATAATCTTCCAGCACTAGCAAGTAAAAGATTAGGATAGATCATCTGCAAATGTGAACTTCTTCCTCGCCCACAGTGTCATCTGATAGTCTCAAATGGGCAGAAGCGTACCTCTTTCGAGCCCTCTTTGATGGTTTTTGACTGCGTTTTTGTAAAGAGATGTTAGCAACTAATGACTTCTCTTTTACTGTCAGTTCAGCTGGATTTCATTTTTGTTGTCAAGGAAAGATGTTTGGAGCACCGTCAATAACATGGCCCTGTGGAGTGTATTATCTGTGTACGATTCAGATGGTACAGCCAGTGTTTTCCTTCACTGTTTTTAATTCGGAAACTACAAACTAACTAAAACACAGTTTCCAAAACAGCCAATTGTATTTTGGAGATGATCAAATTAATTATTGCATGCTGAGACTTGTCATTTAACTGTTCCCTTGTTGTCTGCAATGCCAATGTTGGATACCCCCGTAAGGATGCAATGGAAAATAAAAAATTAAGCCTTCCATGTTGTTTTTTTAGAATAATAGAATTAAAAATATTTCAACTCTACCACAGAAATCCAATACCTTTTTATTTAAAGTTGGAATTAATTCCTGCATTATTCAGCTATTGCCAAATGTTTTGCATCACTCCGTCACGATGTACAATGCCAGGATTAAACACAAATACAAGCATAGATGCACATGTTAGGCCAGGGGTCTCCAATTCTCCAATCAGCAGGTTTTCATTTTAATTCAGCTCTTAAAGTCCTAAGGCTGCTCATTATTATTAATGTATTTGGTCTATTTTAATAGCTACTCCTGTCTTTTCAGGTGCTGGTGATTTAAAGAAACCCAGAAAACCTGCACCTTGGCCCTTCCAGACCAAGAAGAAATAGAATTACAGTTTAGAAAAGGGCAAACCTCATAATCATTGTCAATGTTGTTTCTACAAAAAAGGAAAGAAAAAACATCTGTGTTCCTTTCCTACCCAGTGAAAATCCTGGACTATGATCAATGTTTATAGCTTTTGGCACTTCGACAAAAGTTGCCTTACCTGGATATGGTTAATTAATTCTGACAGCAAAAGAAGCAGAACTTATATGGAGATGAAATCAGCAGCAGGAAAAAAAATACAATTGGCTGTGTGTCTTATCCTTGAAGACATATCAATAGTCCCATTGTAAATTACACAAGGTGCCAACAATTGCAAAAGGCAAATAATGAAAATGTGGAAAAATGGACACAAAATGTAAGGAATATACAGTATTGCTGGGAAATAAAGGTAAAACTATGGAGACTGAAGGGTGTTGGCCTCCTTAACAATCCAGATTTAGACAGAAACAAGGAAGCCTTGCTCGAAACTTTGATGTGTGGTGTAAAATAAACTGCTTTAGTTGACGTTAGCTACTTTCACTAGTGTTGCTAATGCTCAGAAATTAAATTTATGGAGCTCATTACTTTGGACCAGTGATCAGGACTGAATACTCAAATTGTAGTGTTCCAAATTGTGGCTCAGGTGTACTGTACTGTACAGCATTCAGAAACATGTAGCTGAGGTACAGTATAAGCTTATATATTTTTTAGAATGTTTAACTACATTGTTACATGAAACTTGCACACTAACATGTTTCTACAGAGGTCTTGTATTCTCCTTTAAGTAAACCTTCAATTTGATTACCAAACAATTTCCACGTTAAGAAAGCATGATGGAAGAAAGCAATCAAGCTGATTCAGGTCTCTGGTTCACACAGCGATGGAACTACAATTTAATTAGTTTGTGCTCATTGTAGTTTCTTGTAACTGTGGTATACATTAAAATGACCCAGTCGTGTCTTGTTTAGTTGTTTTGTGATGCATCTTGGATACGCTGCATTTGAGATGTATACAGTAGTTCAATAAAACAATAAAATCAGTAATTTCTTGCATTCATATTTTTCACCCCCAATGATCACAATGTGCTTTATATGTAGGAGTACACATATTATTCAGTATTAATGTGTGGCTGCTGTTACCACACAGTATATACCCACAGCCTCACTACACAGCAGATCAGGTAGAGAAATGAGAAATGGCTTCTGCTTCACAGATCAGTGCGTCGAGAAAGTTTTGTCCATGCAAGGGAACCAAGCCTCAGTAAACAAGTGGATCATTCTAATCTTATGGGCATTATGGAAATGTGTAGCTAAAATGTGTAGTAAAAAGGGTCATTCATTTTTTTTAAATGAGAAAAATATCGGTTAGAATTCATCTCTTTGCCATTATAGTAAACAATTACTATACATGTAGTTATATGCGTATCCTATACAGTACATATATGTTTGTGCATATATGTAGTTATTAAAACCCATTGTTCGCTGTGCCCCATGGCGATTATGGAAATGACAAGCGTTTAATTGGCAGCTGTGAATGGTAGCACCTGCAAACAACTCAAGGCTTGTTCTTGCGGTCTGGCAGCATTCTTACTTTATGCTTTAAGTAAAGACTGCTCATTGAGATGGAAAAAAAAACTGACAGGAGATGATTGATGACTGCCCATCACGCTAGGCACGTAGGGCTGACACTTACCACTCACCCAGCACATTTACAAAGTCACAACACAGTTCAGACAAGCTCACAGCAA